AGCTGTATGGTAATTCGGCCAGCACCTGCTCTCCCCTCAATAACAGCGTGCGCGCGCCTCCCTCGGCTGAGCGCGCGCCCACACGTCCCACACACAATACTCTCTCCCCTCCCTCCACACACACACACGCACGCGCGCGCACACACACACACACTTTACACATCGAACAAACATAACCGGACAAACGTCGCATACATTTGCTTTTTCTTCTTCTCTTCTTTAAATATTGACCAAATCCTGTGTAGCACGAGGAACAAACCACATGACCTAAGTGTTTGTGTGTCTGTGTGAGGTGCGTGTGCGCGTGCGCGTTAACAAGGAGCGGGGGGGGGTTGTTTCTTAATTAGGTCGTTCATTAGAAGTGTTGTATAATGGAGCCAATGGCAAGCTGCACGCGCGGGCTACCGTACATTGCGTCACTGTGCTCAGATATGCACATCACGGCTGCAGTTTTCCGGTGTCCGTTACCTGCTGCTGTGATCCGCGCCTCCTCCTCCTCCTCCTCCTCCTCCCCCACAAACAGTGACATGCTTTCTCTTTCTCTTCCAAATTATCTTCACTTCTGATGTCACCTAACATGGTTGATGCGTCCCTAGTTACTTATTACCTCTAATCAATGGCAGCAACAACCAACCAAAGTCCTCCTCCATTAATAAACCTGTCTGTCTCTCCTCTCACACCGGGCTGTGTCTCAACCAAACGCCGGCTGAACCGTGACCATCACAATCAGCCTCCGATAGAGAATCAATTCTGTTTTCACTCCGGGACACAAGAGGCTGCTTTAAATGTTTTACGGCTTCCATAAAGTCTATGTAGAGCAAATCTCAGCTTGGTGCCACTGAACCTTTAACATGAGTGGACTTTGAATACCCAGAAACTCATGGAGAGCTGCAGGCGTGCCCGCCAATAAAACCCGGTGAATGCTGTATTGATCATAACTAACATTAGGTAGGAAATGTCTGTTAGTCTGGCACAACAATGGAAACTAAAATGAGATTATAAAACCCAGTCCTTCGACAGCAGTTTGATATGACTCATAAACATCATCAATAACCCTTTGCAGTCAAAAAACAAAACAAAATGTTTGACTGAAGATTCATCTAAACCTGAACAATACTGCAGAGAAACTCAACTGGAGCCAGAACAGCAGCACAGGGAAAGCAACTGGCAGTAATCTGAGAGGAACTGGGAGTCAAACTCCACCAGGAGACAGATGAGATTAAAACTGTGCCCAGTTTGGACCCAGTTGTCCCTACAGTAGATGTTCTGTCCCTTTTTATCTCCAGGCCAAGCTGCTGCTGGCTGAGCTCTGACTGTTTAACTAAAGTGCTACTGTAGGGGGCTGCTGTAGTTTAACTCCTGCCCACCAGTAGCTGCGCCAAACAAAAAAGGGTGACTCGGGGTCTGACTATTCATCCATTCTCTGCGCTTTAATTTCCATTGATTGTGAATGCAGGAGGGAGGGAGGGAGGGGGTCTTCAGTGAAGGACCACGACACGCCTTCAGACGCGGACAGACCCTTACAAGCCATCTGCCACTAACTACCCCCCCTCCACATCCAGAAAACGACGTTTATTTCCCTGCTTCCCTCCCTCCCTCCTTCCCTCCTCCGGCCTGAAGCGCACGTCTCTATGCGCCTCTGTCCACCGGGCTCCGTCTACACTCAACTGGAAGCATGTTAAAGGACCTGTAACGGTATGGGCCCTCCGGGGCCATATGGCGAGGGGGAAGCCGGGAGGGTTTTTTTTCCCCTTTTTTGGTCCCCGAAGAGGAGACACCACATGGTCACTCGTGGGAACGTAAACACGGCGCGCATCACACGATATCGATCATATGAAGCGGTGATTGGGGAGGGGGGGGTGCTACTGTGTGATGATCAATTGATTTTTTTTACACTGATACCTCATCATTGCAGAACATATTGACGCATCTTCACCCGCAGTGAAAGCTTCCACACAGTGAGTCGAGCCCGTGATGGTGCCAGGGTTGGTGGTTTCGTTCCCTGAATGGAGGAACAAGGCACCAGACCAACGCTGCCAGGGTTGGATGGGGTTGAGGGAGGGAGGGAGGGAGGGGAGTCTTATAGAGGCCACTTGTGCTAAATGTAGGCAAGTACTAAAAGCCTCAAGGAATTGGCAGGTTTTGAATCAGCACTTTCTCAGGAGGTTTTTACGCACGCCTCCCTGAGTCCCAAATGATGCTTACGCACAAAATAACGGTGGTTAACGTGATGAAAAGATATTAATTTATAACCAACTGGGCAATTGAGATTATTCCATGCTGCTCAATCGTGAGTTTATAGGTGCTTGGTTGTACTTCATTCAATTTCTACATAAAATTTGTTGTGTATTTTTTCGAGGCCCATGATCTAAGACTGGATCTGGACTGTCTTCATCTGTTTGGTTTTACCTGCTGAAACGCAGAGATCAACAGGCTCCTTTGTGTCCAGATCCGATTACTGTGGCCAGCTGCTGGAAGAGGGGGCCACAGGCCAGATCCGCGGCTCCCTAGGGCTCTTCGGGGCTCCGCGAGGCTCCCCACGGCTTCCCACGGCTCCTCGAGGCTCCTGGTCCGGGCTGCTGTCTCATTTGCATACGCTGCAGTTACTGGAGACGTGCTGAGCTTAAGTTTATGGGAAGAGTGCCGCAGTAATTACGTGGGGGGCCCAGAGACGCGCCTGTGTGTGTGTGCGCGCGTTATAAGTGTGTGTGAGAAGGGAGGGGGTGCTGTGTGTGTGTGTGTGTGTGTGTGTGTACAGAGACACTTGGGACCTAAGGGGGAGGTAAAGACGGAGCCGTACGTGGCCAGTCGCGTGCCAGTGTTTATGAAAACACATCTGCCGCGCACCCCGGGGTGACGCACCACAACATATGCGGGTCCCTATGAATAAAATCGATAATTCAACAACTGATACTGAGGGCAACACGTTTACCCACAACAAATACTCAAGTTGGCGCAGATGAGAGATCAACCTGCCATTATGATGTGGAGCTAAAGGGTTAAACAAACATATAAAACAACTTAATTAATAAAGTGTTTTAAAAGGTCATTATAGGGTAAATATAATCGATCAGTGAGGTAAATACGTATTGTTGGCATTAGGTTCTTCTAGGAATACTGTAGGGTTAATATTGGGATACTATATAGGAGATAATAAAAGCAAATAAGGTCCTAGAGTGTCACACACCTTAAGATCAGTAAGAAGATCAGAATGGCCCTTTAAACTCTG